GACATCTTCCATCTAATTCAGAGGAATTCACATTATAATGTGAAGGTTGTTCATCTTCAAGTCTGTCTTGTGTAGTTATGTCGGTAGTAGCAACTACCACCTGGTCATCATCTGACTGGCTATGGGTGGGTCCTGTATTTGATACTTCGAGTTCTCCGGTCTCTCCTACACTTTCCTTCACTAAGGATGACTCTATATAAATTGGCTCTTGAGATCTTTCAAATGTTTCGACCGTGAGGCATCTTTCATTTGATTCAAAAGATTTCACAATATAGTGTGGATATTGTTCATCCTCAAGCTTGCCATGTTCAATAATGTCACTAGTAACAACAACCACCTGTTCATCATCTGACTGGTTAAGGGTGGGTCCTGTGTTTGATACTTTGAATTCTTCTGTCTCTCTTACACTTTCCTTTACTGATGATGCCTCTATATACAATGGTTCTAGAGATGCTTCAACTTTCTCAGCTGTGAGGCCTCTTCCATCTGATCCAGCGGATTTCACAATATACTGAGAAGGTTGTTCATCTTCAAGTCTGCCTTGTCCTATTAGGTCACTACTAGTAACAACAACCACTTGTTCATCATCTGACTGGTGCTTACCGAACCTACTACTATGAAGCTTCCCATTAGAATCTAAAATATCTCCATTGATTGTACTCTGGTAGTGAATGGCATCTTTAAGTGACAAAGACGAATGAGGTTCAACAGGAAAGGATAAGAATGGAATTTCTTCATTCTGCTCTTCCGAGGGCAATGTGGCAGGACCTAAAACTCTATTTTCTTGAATTATTTCCCGAACAATTTCCCTTACAGTGTAGAAAGAGCCACCAACATTCTTGTGTGTAAGAGTCAGAGAAGGAAAATTCCCATTATTTGATTTCTGATAACTGCAAAACGTACAAAAAAGAAACAACATTTTCAACATGGTTTCGTTTAGATTGAATGAATTGTTGAACACATCAACAGCTAATAACTGATTCCAAGAACAATGAAACAGTTGCCTGTCCTGACTCATTAACGTATATACAATTAAAGAAATTTTGCAATATCATATAGCAGGTTCAGCAACATCAATGACTAAAAACTGCTATTTACAATGGCAGGGAAGAAAGTGAGAAACTGAAAAGAAGAAAAGATCAGAATGATGCAGAGGAGATTCAATGGTCGACATGCCTCTTTATCCAATTCGGAGAACATTGCCAAGGTGCCAAAAGGATGGAATGTAAGAAAATGAAAAATTATCAGAGTAAACATGTTTTCCATTTTTCATTCTTTCGAAATGCAATTGTATAGAAGATCGTTCATATTCTGTTTGGTAAAGCCCCCAAATATTTTAAATTGTTCTTTCGATAAACCAAGGATTGGTATATACAATTTTTTTATAAAACCAAGTGAACATTGCATGTGAAAAAAACTACTCAGTATATTAAAAAGGGAACCCCTTCAAGACAAAACATAGCATGTCAATTTGCATGCAAAAATATTAAAAAACCGATTGGTAAATACAAGTTTTTGCCTCACTTACGTCTTTATAAAGGTTTCAGCCATGGATTTCCTCTCCTCCTTCGAGCGCCTTATCCTTGCCTTTCGTCCCCCGGAATCATTGCACGCAGAAACTGAAAATGTTTGCCCAGCCCATGCTCCCTTTAATGAGTGCATGTTGTGCAGAATGTTCAATTCTCAAAGACGAACCCTGAAAACAATTCCTCCGCAATAAATAAATATCTTTCAAAGCCAACTTCCAATAACAAAAGAACATTTTTCCCTGTTCAATGTCCAAGAATGTTGGGAATAAAATCATTCTACACAAACACATATGAATATAACTAATTAAGGTTCACTTTGATAAGGATAAGGGTAACTTGTATTAGACACACACACAAGCTTTAGATTTACCAAAGATCTCAAAAGGACATGTGCAACATTCACATTGTTAGTTGCTCGGTTGATTACTTCTGTATTTTTTTATACATAATTGAAGATCTAAATGTAATACAGAGTGATCAAACCCTAAAGTGTAAATATATCAAAGTATGGTAAAATTTTAGAAGTTAAAGCATATTAAAATACGTTAACCAAACAAAATATACATCTAAAAACTCACTAGAAACCTAAGCTGCATTAACTAAAAGTGTAAAGAAAACATTACCTGCGCTTATTTATCAGATAGAGAGAAAAAAGACTTGGAGAAAAATAAAAACCCTAATTTCAATGGCTACTGAGTACTGGCTGGGGAAGAGTGAAAAGAAAAAGAAAAAAAGAAGAAGAAGAGACTGAGAACTGAGAATCACGTTACACTGCAATTTTTGCAGACAGAGACCTGAAGAAAGCGGGCACTGGCTCGGGGTTTCAAATCCACCCGCGGGTAATCCAAAATTTATCCTGGATTTCCCATATCAAGTCATGGATTAAGAATTCTCCCGTCTCAGTATATTTGTCCAATTTGATTTTTTTTAGTCAAATTAGAAAAATGTTAAACTCCAATTATTCTCAATTTATATTGCATATTAGCACGCATAATGAAATACAATTTTAAAAGTTCTCAATACGATAAATCTAATAAAATCATTTTTATGTAAAATATATTACGGTTTTTATTTTAATTGAAGCTCAAAGTTTGTCCAGTTTGACTCAAAAAAGTCAAACTGGACAAATACATCGGGACGGAGAGAGTATATCCCATTAATAATACTTAATTATAAGTCATTTTTTATATTTAGTCTTCAATTATAAGATATTATATAAATGATTATTGATTTTTGAAAAATTATTTCATAAATAATCCTTTAGATCAAATATGACAAACTACTTTCTCCACAAATATTTGTCGAAGGACTGATTATGGAATAGTTTATAAAAGTTGAGGATCATTTATGTAATACCCAATAATTGTGAATGAAATATGGAAAATACTTGTAATTAGAGATCATTTATGAAATTTACTCTAACAGATGCCACCTTTAAATTAGTTTAGAGAATAAAGAAGATAAAATTTTGTGGTTTAAAGTGTTGGAAAAGGAAAAAGAAGTTATAAGGGCCGCAAATTCTTTTCCAAAAATAAAACCTTTTTGTAATAGGTGAAAAAATAAATGGATAATTTTTAATGAGGAATGCTAGGGGTACCCCATTTGGGGTACCCCATTTTGTACACCATGCATCCTAGCCCTTCATTTATTTTTTTATTTTTAATTTTTTTTTCTCTTTTGCTTTGTGTGGTGGAGATGGAGAGGGGTACAAATGGGGTACCACAAATGGTGTACCCCTAGCATTTTTGATTTTTAATAGGATGGAAAAATTATGATTTATGACCTGTGTTTGCTTCAATTATTATAACTATTATAACTATATGTATAATGAAGAATGACCGAAAATATTGTAGTAAGTGCCATCACTGATTCTCGTGGTTCTTTCTACCGAGAGGTTATAGATTCGAACAAATAATGAAAAATTAAAAAAAATATGGTATATAATGAAGAATGATCTTATCATGTATCTTATCATATGAACAAAATAACTATATGGAGTAAATTAAAATTACATATTTATAACATAATTTAACATTTTATCGTATTAATATACAATGCAGCTCTAATATAGGAGTAATTGATAATTTAAAGTTTGTTCAATGCGATTTAAGAAAATCAAATTGGATAAATATTTTGATATAAAAAATATTTTAAAGTCAATATATTTGATTGTGTAAATTTTGTTTCTCTTTCTAATTTATCGCGTAGAATACTTATTTTTCACCGCCCCTGATAACTTAATATGTACTCCCTCCGTTCCAAATTATAAAGCTTGTTCATTATTCACAGGGTCAAACTTCATTCACTTTCTTTCTCAATTTTCGTTAGCAATTTGATAAAATAAAATACTATTGTCATTACTAGTTTTGTAGATCTTTTGATTTAGTTTTTTAATATGAAATTTTTATTTTTAAATTCTATACCATTTGTCATATAAAATGGTTTGAAAATAATTTCAGTCAAACATCATAAACCGAAACAGGCGTTATAAAATGGGACGGAGGTAGTAATAATTAAAAAAAGTAGAGCAAAGACTATTATCTAGTAATCACTAATGCCATTGGTAAGAAAGCATTGTTAAACCTATTTTTCACCATACACTAATATTATTGCTAAAAAATGTACTCTACCTTTCAAGCAACTTCATTTTATTGATATTTGTTTTGGTACAAGGATGATTTATTTATCGGACTAAGAACTTAGTATAAAACCGTATTGACTTGTATGTTGGACCTTGGATGTATTGAATTCTCACCATTTTGTAAATATTGAAGGACTCATCTAAAATTGCAAATTCAAAGATATTTGGAGATATTACAATATTTTTAATAGTATCTTTGTCTCTAAGTATTTATCACATTCAACATGTGTCCTATAATTAAATAAAAGTTATATTGTCTATTAATTAAATAAAATAATATTTTAAAAATATTTTATATAATACTCCGTAAATATAATGAAATTACTTTTGTATAAAATTGAAATTAGAAATTGAAATTGGAAATTTTATACAAAAGTAATAAAAATATTTTATATAATAAATATAATGAAATTACTTTTGTATAAAATTTCTAATTTCAAAAAAAATATCAATAATATTTTTAGATAGTACTCTATACTCCCTAAAATTTGATTCATTGTACTTAGAACATCAATAAACTTTATTACAATGTAATATTTATTCACATATTTTCAGTCTCTAAAAGCACATAGAGTTACAACCTTCATTGAGATTCAAACCTATTTGAGAGTCACTATGATGCGGCTGAACAACAATGTCTTTGGCGGATGGGATTCTTTGTATGCTTTTCTATGAAAGTTAATTAGTAATGCAAGACGTGTTACAATCAGATCATATAGCATCCAGAATAAATGGGAGGAAACCATTGAGCAGAGCAAAATAAGAGGGCAAAGTGGTAAAGTAGCTCAAAGCATTACTCCGCACAAAAGAAATACAGTACTATTTTGATCAAAACTGAAGCGCCATTATTGCAGATTTATATATTTACATTGTTAAAAGAATCGAATGTGCAAAACTTCCCAATCTGGAAGTGAAGAAGAAAAAAGAACTTAGTAAGTGGCAATGGTTCCCTGATGGACGCGCCTCAAAACTCGGGCAATCCTACGATCTCGACCCAATGGTCATGTGGTTAGAAAACGAACGAAGCCGATCCATCGGGCCTGATGGATCATTCGACAATTGCGTACCAAAAATGAGCAGGCCCCGATGGTTCGGGGCCCACATAACCGCCAAAACTCGTGATTTTCTCTTTGTTTTTTGTATAGAGTAAATTCCATAAATAGTCTCTAATTATAAGCAATTTTCCATATTCAGTCTCCAATTACAAGATCTTACATAAGTAGTCCTCAAATTTTGAAAATTATTCCATAATCGGTCCTTCAAGGACTATTTGTGGAAAAAATTGTCATATTCAGCCTACAAGACTATTTATGGAATAGTTTTAAAAAAATGAGGACCATATATGTAATTTCTTATAATTGAGGACAGAATATGGATAACCACAGGTAACTAGGGACCATTGATGAAAATTACTCTTTTGTATAAAACAACCAACCTATCATCTGCCCCCAAGAGTCTTTTGTTTATACCCATATTTCATCCGGTCAAACAGTTTCTCTCGCGTCTTCCTCTTCTTGTCCATTTTTAACCTATACCTGTGTTCCCTCTCCCTCTCATAAACCCCTTGCCAGTACACCTCACCCGTTAGCGGCCACAGCCACTTCTCGTATGGGTGGTCGTTGTCATCGGCCGCCTCCGCCAGGTCTTCGTCCATACTCTTTAGTAAAGTCGAGTTGAAGTACTTTGCCCACATAAGCCCTCTTCGTTCCTCAACGGGGTGTTGTTCTTCCAACAGGCCTGAGTTAGGGTCTACATACACCATCTTTCTAGCACTGTGATATGCCCATACGTTTACTACCACTTCCATAATCCGGCAGTAACAGTGAGTCTTCTGGAAGTAATAAAGCAACAAATACACAAGAAAATATGTTATTCGTCTTTCTAGGGGTATAAGTACGTTTTTTGTTCTTTTCTAATCCCTCTTCGTCAGCTTTGCCCAAGCCCTAGACATTTTTCCCACTAGAGCGAAAAATGTGTGTTATGTAAACATACCTCAAGTGTCGATGATGCCAGCACACATTCCGATGTGTTGCTCGAATTTACATTCAAAGCATTGAGCGAGTCGACAAACATCCTATGTTTCATCAAAATTTTAGTTCACAACTCATTGAACCGCTCAAATAGTCAAATATACTCCCTCCGTCCCAAAATGTTTCTCACATAACGCAAAACGAAATTTCAAGTTTTTCAATTCATTTTTGTTAAAAGATTGATATAAAAATAAAAAATAAAATTTACATATTTAAAAAATAGGTCAAAAGTTTTTCAAAACAAAAGTTGACAAGAATATTTTATTTTATCAAATAATCGATGAAAAAGTACAAATAACCAAAAGTTCCCGTGATTGACATTCTTTTTGGGACGGAGAGAGTATGATAATACTAGCAATGAGGTTTTTATGACACAAACAAATTGAGTTACCTGGAGAACATTACAAACTCCAAAAAAGAAGAGGTTGGCATCACCCAAGAGTGCAGGGCAGACCAATGCCCACCATCTTGGGGCATTGGTGGAAGCGCTTCCAAGTGTGATGGTAATCCATACATTCTGCGAAAGGCATCTTGGAAGGAATTCCTGCATGAGTTATAAGAGGAAGAGAAGGTCTGATCTATTACCTTGTTCATCATTGGAAGCTAAAAACATTATACCAACCAGACATTTAAAAGAAATAGAAAGAGGGTTGAACTGATATCAGGGATTACTTGAGTCTGGGAAAAAAGATTATCTACATATAGCCTATTTGGAAGGCTTCATTTTAGGACTATCAACCATGTTTTCATCAAATAACAGCTTACTACGTATTTTACTATGTTGCTGAATTAGCTTATAAGGGAAAAAGGTAATGTATGAGCTACTATTTGGCTGGATGACTGAAATTGATACTTCTACCCTTTCCAAAAATATTTTCTTTAAAATATCTAAATATATAATACCAAGCATTAAATAATCTTAAAGATTACTTCGCAGCTTCAACATAGAACTTCAGTCATTTTAAGTCTTACCAAATGGGTACATAACATATTGAATCCCACACCTCAAAAGCATAAAAGAGAACAACATAAATTCATCTTTCAGAAAATATGACCCGTTATCATAATACAACCATGTTTTCAGCTAAAAAGTGAACATTCACCTGCAGTTTCCTCCATTCAAGATGTCACACATGGACCAAAAGGTAAGTGCATTATTCCTTCGTGCAAGCCCAGCATCTACATCTAGATGTGCCCAAAAATATATAACATCCCCTTTGGTGTTTCCATTTATTGCTTCTTCCAAAGTCTGCTCTGCCCTTTTACTTAAAGAGACCTGTTATAGATGTAACAAGTTACAAGTCTACATCAGATTGGGAAGTTTAGGGAGATGAATATGAATGGAATGCACATTCTAAACATATAGACGGAGTGCAAGCATTTAAATAATCAGACTCAACAATACATTAAGAGAATCCTATAGCTTAGAAAACAATTATAACATACAAACATCTAGGGTTAACTGCATCTACCTCCTCTGAGATGGGTCAAATCACCAAATGATCCCCCAGACTTTTCAAAATTACAAAAACAACCCTTGAGAAGTCAAATAATATGTAAATGACATTGCCAAAACAAAATGTAAATGACACAAAAATGAGTGTTTAAATACCAAATTACTCTAAACATTAGACCGGACATTTTTCCCTAAGAAAAATGTAAATAGTCTAAAGGATAAGATGCAAAACAATGAAACACTCGATTCCCGTTAGTATCATTATTTTCTATCATAAATCAGTTTTAAGAGTGTCATTCACAGACACGTTTGCTGCTCGAAAAGTCAAACTTTAATTTGTATAAATTTTAGAGACCATTTTTGTAATTTGACCACACCTCAAGAAAGGTAAATGCAATTAACCCTAACATATACATTCAGAAAAGTTAACAAGAATGAAGATGCACCTTCCTCCCAGTGGCTCGCCATGACTGAAATCCAATCCAAGGTCGCTTATGAATATTATCGATTCCATTTGCAATTGAGAATACGCCTCCAATCTCACAAAGGATATCTCTATAATATGTCTCATTCAGCAGCGGAAGGCGACTAACAGCATCTACATCATCAGACTTCAGCCTTCGTGCTTTCGTCAACTAAGGCATTACGTCTAATCTAAATTAGAATATAGAATATAAATGTATAAACTAGAAAAGATTATACAGATATGTAGTTAATCTGCTAAATATGATTAGATTGTCTTTTCTTATACCATTCAGGACCGAAAACGTTCCATTTACTTCTTTGTAAGCACTCCCTCCATCCCGAATTATTCAATATTCAGGGTCAAAGATTAATCAATTTATTTCTTTAATTTCGTTACTCCTATGAGAAAATAAAATAGTGTTGTCACGTTTTGTTTTATACAGAGTATAACTTCTGATGTTATTTTTAAAATATAAATTTTATTTTTTTATTCCACACCAATTTTCAAATAAACTGAATAAAGAATTAATTCAATCAACCATCGTAATCAACATCTTAATTAAATGGGGATGGAGGGAGTAGAATTTTTAAGTCCCTAAAGCATAAATGTGTGCAATTTTAGTTAAAATGAGTCTCGACACCAGGACCAACCCTGCTACCCCAGTATGAGTGTTGGCTACACCATTGATTCAGGGATTAAACAAAATCCAATTTTATTCTAGGGGATTAACACAGCATGAACATATTAAATTGTAAATAGCTTTAGTTGTTTGAGGTGATCTCACAAGGCTTAATCCACGATACAGAGAGCCATGGTGTAAAAATGGCCAAGCTCCAGCTCCATTGTAAATCTCATAAATGCACAGTGGTTGCCCTGTCCTTTCTAGCTCTCCCTCATCCCTCTCATTTGTTTCAAATCTCAGCTTCTCAGCTTTACGAGCATTCCGATATATCACATCCCACTCACCAATGTGTTTCTCCATTCTTTCCGCCATCTACTCAAACAAGTAGAATCATTCAGTTATCACAACATTTGAGGAAAAACAAAACATATACCCTCTCATTTGGTTTTGGTGATGGAAGAGGGAGGAGGGTAGGGGCCATACTCTAATTCTACACAGTTTACCTCTTCCATTTCTAATCTGCCAGCTTCCTCAGAACCCTCTATTTCTGTTAAAATGCCCCAATCCAAGTCAGTTGGAGAATCCACTTCTAGAGACTCATTATTGTCATCAGACACATTCTTCAGAGAAACGAGATTGCCCATGTGTTCCTCGAGTTCGTAAACAACATTCAGATTACTGGAATCCCTATCCTCCCTATCACTAGCATTTTCATCATTGTGAAAATAATACCATTCCCAAATGTGTTTCTTAAACAAAGAAGTGTTGCCTGAGGGTGCCATATCTGATGGGAAATTGAAGACATTCTCTATCAGATTTGCATAGCCTGTAATGCATTCAACTGCAAACATGTTCTTCGCAAGCAGCCTACTAGAAGATGCAATAGAATGGGCATGTTTTGTAAGTTTTCCATCAGATATCAGAAGTGAGAAAGCCTTCATCAATGCATCAGAACTATGGTGTGTAAATGTCATTCCATGAACTCCATCAACAACCTGAAGATCTAAAAATATCAGATACTTCCCCCGCACAATAAAAAGCTCGGTTTTAAACACTTTTTGTCAAAAAAGAAAAGAAAAGAAAAAGTTGCATTCATATTTAAGATTGTTGTAGCATACTAAAATTTAATAGTTTTAATTTTGGGCAAACATGACTCTTTTTTGGGAGGCAGTACTATATAGCAAGAAATCCGTTCAAAATTAATTATGAAATAGCATTATGAAGAGAAATAAGTCAAATAAGATCTCTCACATATTTACGTATGACAGGGTAATCAGATGCAACAACAGGTATCCCGTATGCCATGGCTCGAATTAGTAATGGAGGAAAATTTTGTTCATCTTGAGAAGAAGAATAGAGTACAATGTCGGACATCATTATAAGACCGTTGACATCACCATTTATACCATAGTTGTATAAGGATCCTTGATGCAGTCCAAGACGGGTAGCAACATCCTACAAAAAAAGACAGACAGGTAACATGTGATTGATGGCAAAAAAAAGAGTGTGGTTGATGAAAAAGGCT